CTGTAAACACTTGCGGTATAAGTAATAAAGATATGTAAACATTTTTGTTCGTAATCATTTCCAATTTGCATAAACATTATATGGATATGTTTTTATCATTTAAATATCTTGATCTGTTTTTGTGTAAAGTTGATTTTATCATCAATGATCTAAATTTATAAAAATTTTCTGATAAAGCGCAAAAAACGTAATTTTGCACGAACATAGACTGACCTATTAACTTAAACTAGAATTTTTTCTATCATTAATAAAAATAAGACTAAGTCTTGCCTATTGTACGAGCGAGTAGAGCACACATTAATAATAAAAAAAATGTCTAAAACGCAAAATTATATTTTCCAATTTTTTCGTCCCCCTATTACCGGCCGCCTCAAGCCATCCTAAAGTCGGGGCAAAGTTTTTTAAAATTACAAAATAAGTTAACTTATATAATTCGCGTTTTAATCTACTAAATTTTTTTTATTTACTACTAATACTTCTAAGACATTGAAAATTCTGTGATATTTTTCATTCAATTAGGTGCTTTTGTTGAATGCTGGGAAGATTTAATAGTCCGATAACACTTCCGAGTTACACTCGCAAACTTTATTAAAATGAGACCTCAAAATTCCCAACCTCTTTTCACGCAAACGAAAGACAATAACATAATCTGTGGTTAATTATGCAACAAATTAAATCATAATCTGTGCTAGCGGAAATGATCACGTCTGTACGAAATTGAGAACAATGAGGGGAATGCGATACAAATATAATTATGTAATGCTTTCGAATGTACTTTAATGATTATCCATTTCGGCTGTTCGTATTACATTTTTAATTATGGTTTTGCGTTATGCAATACCAGCTATAGCTTAAAACTAGACAATTTACAACTATTGTAGAGTAGGTTTGTGTTTCCTGTTTAATCTAGAATTTGATTAGTCATCATAATTCATTATATTTACAATTATAGTTTACGAGAGTGAGACTTTTCTAAGAATAATTTTTTAGCAACTGTGAGCGGGTTAAATAAAACAAGCTCATTAAAAGGCCGGAACGAAGAAAAAAGTTAACCAATATATTTCGTGTTTTTAACCGTTTAAAGTGTTAATGCCTGATGCCATTTTAAATTATTTGTAACTCTTAATCTAACATTATGTCGTAACTAAATAAATAAGGAGACACAGATATTTCCACGCCCCGCTTTAATCACATTACACATCTTAATATAGATTAAAATCCAGCAACGTCCAGGATATAGGAAAATTCCATTCACATTCCAATCTCTAAGCAAGAATCTCCTGTGAAAAGGAAACAAGTGAATGTTTATAAGTTACGTTAGCAAATATGGTGATGATCGAAGATGGTCAGTGAAAACGAAATGGCATGCGCAGGTCAGAAACCGGTGTATGTAACCACCAGTTAGCGTTCAGATCTCTCGAGGCTTTTAATTGATTAGCATTTAATTTTTAATGAAAACCATAAAGTGATGGGGAAAGTGATTATATGTTTATTTAAAAATGATAACTAAATTAAGGGTAGAGTAAAAAAAAGAAACAATAGTGTGTGTAGTAGAATTTTATTTCTTGAATGTAAATAGGTACTATGTAGTATGTACATACATTTAAAAAATCTATCTTACGACTTTTGATTGTTATTGAATTATGTACAATGTTATTTAGAGATACAGAGAAGATATAATACAGAATACAACAAACTATTTTGCGTGTAAAACCAATCAAATTATTCAATTTATTTAAACAAATTAAAAGCAATATATTTAAAAACTTAACTAAAGGTTGCAAATAAAAAACAAACATAAATATTATCAATGAACATTAGAATTACCTATTTAAATGTAATTTTATTAAATTTAAAATTAAAATTAGATAAGGGCGATGGCTAAATGATATTATAATTAATTCTTGTGGTAATAAAAAATATTATTTCTCGAATCTAGGCACAGCTTACGTTTTAAATTATGTAAACCGTTGTATAAATTGCAGCAAGAACTGGCAGAGGCTTTCTCGATAAATAATTTTCATCTTATTAATATTAGAAAAAGTTACAGTTATTTATTGAATTAAAACCACACGAGTGGTACTTGAATATTTCTTGTTAAAAATTGTTACGAGTTGCTGTACTTCTATTAGAAATTTAATTAATTTTGTATTTCAGGAAAAATGGTTTTAAATAGTAATTTTAAAATGGTTTTTTTAGAAATATGTGCTAATACGATAATTCTAATGGTGAATAAATAGTAGGTTTAATATTCCATTTATAAAAACCCAATATCTATACTTTTCTGCAATTCATCCCATAAATGAGATAGGGATAAGATGTGTTCATATAAGTTTGGGCAAGCAGCGGCCAAAACCTATATGTCTAGAACAAAGTATAATATGTACAAAGAAAAGTGTAAATTTCTATATTCAGAAGTCAGTATTAGGAATTGAATGTCAGGAACTGTAGCAACGCTAAGCCTATATCATTATGTAACAAGTGTTTCCTTGCTCGTTGGAAAGTGCTGGAAAGTTAACATTTACATACGATACCATAATATGGTATTAACGAGATGATCTGACAGATTTAAACTTAAAAGTCGAACACTCTTCTTCTTATTAAGATATACTGTGTTTATCGCCACCGTAACCAGTTGCCATTTGGTAGGTTTGCCTTGGATTAAGCATGAGAGGTCCTGGATTCAAACCCTAGGAATGTGATAAATTGTTTGGGTTTAGCACCGTACAGGTGTCTAGATAAACTACTCGCCTATAAATAAAATTGATTAGTAAAACGAACACAGAAATGTGTTCACCCCATGCCCCACTGGAGGTTTTCCTTTTTTTATGTTTGTCGTGAGACATCCTGGGAATCCCAAATTTTAAACGTGCAGGGCCCAGAGTTTGAACGACATAAAATAAAATAAAATAAAATATACATTATTCTCTTTAACATTTTAGAAATTATTTAGATTCTTCAAAACTATTTCGTTTGTCTCTCTGTTCGTCGTGATTCTACAGAGTGTTCAAAGGAGCAACATAACTAAGAAGAACACCCAAGAAGCTCAGTCCGGTCTTTTTTAACATGCCTTATAAACTAAGGCATTTATTACCTAAGGAGCAATGCATATGGTCTTGTCATTAAAGAAATCGTTCAGACAATAATACGCGTTTTGAGAAAATCTAATTTTTATAACTTTATTTATCGATAAATTAAAATATACTATACAATTAAATACAATTCCCCACAAATGAATTAGATATTTCATGGAGCCTATATGTGGGGATAGCTAGGTTATCCATATTTCCTACTTCAACTGTAATTAGAATCGATCTGTAAAATATACACAGATATATTGTTGTAGGATATTGGTATTTTACATAATAATATACTAAATTAATATGTAAAAGAGAGTATGTTCTGATCATTAGACGATCATGAATACTCGATCTATGATCACGGATAACTGTTATCTATAGCTGTAGTTAGAAAAACGTCGATATCCCTAATGATAGGTCTGTGCAGCCCTTCTAACTTTTACTGTTATCTAAGCTGGACTGTAATTTAGCACCTGACTATACAGCCGCATTCGCTATTTATTATAATAAGAACGGTTCGCCCTTGTTTCTAACAATCTCGAATAAATTGTTTAGTGTTGATATCATTACTCGAATCAGTCGAGTTTGATAGTGCTGTAGATAAAGGACGCAGCCTTGAAGAATGATCTCCTGTCTAATTGTGTATATAATCTTAACTAAAAAGATGTCTGCTACGCTTTCAAAGGCGTTGTACCCAGTACGAGTATCCTAGTCCAGGATCAGAATTAAGGTGATGAGGCTCTTCTGTCTATCTGGTTGACTCTGCTCACAAGTAGCTCACTAGAACCATGCTCTGTGATCAGAAGCATATATAAAAAAAACACTTGGAGTGTTTCTAATAAGAATTATTGCATTAATATAAGTACACTATACTTAACATATAACGCATATATGTCGTGAAATGCAAGTCTCTCTCATCAGTAAGTACAGCAGCAATTATGATAAGTAACAATCACTCTTTATCATATAAAATTCTATCTAATAAGCGATAATAACCTCTCAGCAAACGATTGCGAGGAGATATTGCAAACAATACGTAAAATGATTATTCATAGATCTCGATAGCTAGTGTTGTCGGTTGATCTCGGAATATTTCCCAAGTGTTGCCTTCACAAATAAATCGATATTGTTTATTTTATTATCTGTTTGTGTTTTCATGTGATCATGGTCGCAGATAATACTTATATTACATAGCCATTAGACGTTTTATTTGTAGTAATTTAACAAACGTGCTGGAAACAATAGCACGCAGAGTATTTTGGATAGAACAATGATAAGGATGTTATAGATTCCAAATGCTATTGCTAAATTGAATTTAATGTTATATTTTCAAAAGCGAAAATATATCGTTTTATTTTAGTCTTTACAAATTTTATTACCTCTACCCAGCTATACTAAAAGATGTATGATATCTGTTATATTATATAGTTTATGGCTTCGACAAATGATACACATTAAGACGCGACCACGATTGATGTATCAGTCACGTCGGGTCGCAGTTTTAAACAATCTTCGTGTTTTAAAATAGTAAAAGTGACGCGTTGAATCTAATAAAACGCCGTTATCATAAAAATACATAGTATATACCTTTATAATTACAAAAGGACTTTACTAAAACGTTTAATTTAGAAATATAATGATAAAAAGTTTGTGTTTAAAACAGCGTCGATCACAGGAAACATTACCAAGGCTTACTGAGGTTTACAAATTTTTATTCCTATGAAATAATAAATCCAGATTGCTTATGCATATATGTACCTACTGTAATTGTATTCATTTAACCATCGTTAAAAATTAACGCCCCATTTAATCATTGCTTAACATCTTTTTGTATCAATGATTGCGGTAGTGCCCATTACCCATAGCAGATGAGCATCGCAATATTTGCGTAAACAATGCCCGGAGCGAATCGGAACCATAATGATACCATCATTCTGTACGCAGTTAGGTAAGACGACTACGGGAAATGCGTTGCCACAGGATTTATGGCGAAATCAATAATTTCGTTGGGTGAGATGCCCCGGGTTCGTTTTCCGGGAAAACATGATAAAATAAGTTGGATTTTTTTATTAGACGATGATGTACCTGTCTTAAACGTTCATCAGACGATGATGAAGACGATCTAAAATCAGCCAGACAGAAATACCGCCTAAGTGGAAGAGGTGCGATTTCGATGAAGTTTAAATTTCATGATAAATATAAAAATGTACACATAGATGAAAACATCCACAAAGCGCAAGTTAACAGTTAGTCTTATGTCGAAAATAAAATGAGTTTATGGGAGAGGAATTTAAATAGTTTCCAAATATAATACGTACCAAAACAAAGGTAATAACAACTGTCAGTCATGGGTGAGTGATATAAATAATTTTGCTTGTTTTTTAGATATAATACAATAAATAATCATTGCATATCGGACGTTAATAACGGTATCTAACGATAAATTCTAAATGCGAGCTCTAACAAATTATTAAAAAAAGATATGATTTAAAAAAATCATACCGTTTTCCTGACTTTCTTATGAGATATTATTAATATTTCAGGTACGCTTTAATTGGTGTTTCGTTTGAGTATTTGCTTTAAACAGTTTCCGAAGCAATAACATTTATCAATAATAATAATGCATAAGTAAAATAACGTAAAGAAAGTTTTTTTTTTCAATTACAACCATTGATAATGAGTTATTATTGCTTTGTTTGTTTTTAAAATAAACATCACAGTTTGATGATTAAGAAGTCATTACTTTATTTACCATTCTATAACGTAAGTAGTTGGAGACCTTAATTTTTGCCTTGTGTTTCGACTTTGAAACTAATCTGTATTATAATGGTTATTCCGTTGTCATGGATAGTTGGACTTTTCACTTTTACTGTAACTGTGGTTAAGATAATAACATGAATACCACGTTCAATGTTTAATCTCGGTTTTATATCAAGATTAAAGTTATCAAAGTCGCGCTTGACTTACCATTTACTTTCAATGAAATTCTGAACTTGATGAACCGCGTCAACTTTAACAAGCCCTGAAATTACAGTTTTACGGCACATTTTTGTTTATAGCACAATGCAAGCAGCCATTATGCCATAATCCGAAACAAAATAATGCCATGAAAATGTAAAATAGATCGGGGGATACAAAAAATTGTTTCGGTCGGACTGGACATATAAGTTTTAATATGATATGAACTTTTAATGGTTCAAAACGCGAAATATATATTTTAACTTACTTTAAATTTATTTTAAATAAGGCCTGAACGCGGTGTGACATTTCGCGTTTTAAACCGTTAAAAATGTTTTTTTTTTAATGTGTAAATTACAGACAATACTTAGAACATATAAGTATGGTCTACTTGACGTAAAATGTACATAGAAATGTGTGGGCCCATGCCCCACAGGGAAAACAAAATTCCTACCTCTTTTGTATATTAAAAAAATGCATATAAATATTGCTGTAGCATAATAATTATTATAACCAAACGTAAACAATCAAATGAGTTTTATTTGAATATCGAAAGTAAATTGAAATAAATTCCGACTCGCGCAGGACTTGAACCTACATCGTCATCGTTCCGTGCTGTTGCTCTAACGAATTGAGCTACAGAGTCTCTGTGCATAAGAGAAATGAAATCGTTTGTAAAATAAACAGTTTCCTTTAACCAGTGATAAAAATATGTATAACAAGACCTTCAAATCCCAATATCAAACAATTACATTTCTCACGTACCAGTTACACCAATCAATCCATTTTTTAGCTGACAAGAGAATGGATCGCTGGGGCAAACGGTTTCACGAGTTGACGTATTAGTACCATTACTATTGTCTGCTAATTAAAAGAAATAAATTCTAAATTCCATTTAGAACGAGGCATATAGGCCAAAAACCGCTGTTTAAAATCCAACAACCGCTATTTAGTTGGAATAACCCAAAGTCGGCTACAAGGTGGAAATGGGTATTTACCCATCTGGGTGAAATATGACCTGATGGCGTGGACAGATCACCCGGCCTAATAAGTAATAATACAGTTTGAAATTCGTTTTTATATATAAGATGAGACAGGGTTAAGTTTTTCTATAAAGCAAAGATTTGGTATATAGAACCTACGTAATGTTAAATAAAAACTCACACACCTGCAAAGAAACGGCTTTTTTTGGATATACATATTTTCATAGAGAAATGTACAAACTATCTGTATACGTAAATTGTGTAAGGCTTTCACGGCCATTGTTCAGCATATTATTGTAAGAGGTTCTCGACGTTTCGCCATCAAGTTTGGACGGCATCATCAGAAGACGTTAACCCTTCGATTGCTCGAAGAATTAATTCTTCGGCCGAACAGCCTGAAAGACAATGATATGCTGTTATTTGAATATGTTTTACATTAATGTTATTAATACTATATAATTAAAAACTCATAAAACTTATTTTTTTTAAAACGGAACCAAACAAAGCAATCAAATTTTAATAATAGTGTTAAGAACAAAATCGCTTAAAACAATTTTATAAACATATATATATTATATGTGATGGATGAAAATTTAATTTTGATTTAGAATAAATGAATATAGATTATTTTGTAAGCAAAATAACTAGTCAATACTAGTTGACGAAGTACCTATATACTAAATTATGCACAATTATATTAAATCGAATGACACTAAGCTATAAATAAATAAATAAACATATTCTTTTATATTACAGGTTGTAACTTTTATCCTGTCGGGGAATACTTAAGATTTGTAAGAATACCAGAAAACTTGAGAGTCGGCGATGAAGTCCTACAAGTTGAAGTGCATCCAAGGTATGTATACCTACAGCTATAGTTTACCATATTGCAGGATAAGCCATGGCATATGCCTGCACAGCTGGGACTCAGATTGGTTCCAGGTCGTGCCAACGATCTTAGAGACCTCGCGTTTAACGTAGTATACATATATTATTATGATTAATTATATCACTAATACGCCCTCTTGTAACTTTACGGCTTTTTTTATTAATAATAACATTTTTAACGGTTTAAAACGGGTTAAATATATTTATTAAACTATTTTCAATTAATTACTAAATACAATTACACCCGGCGTATCGGATGCTTTGTAGCATACATAGTCCGGAGGGATTTAATATTAGAGTTTTAAACCATTAAAAATGTTTTGTTTAATCATACTCGCGTAAATTACCACAATGGACGTTAACTCTGTTAAATATCATGTAACTATTATGTATAAGTTTTTCTGTCAAAGATTCACTTACAAGCACGCAATTCGTGTAGTAACAGATTAATACAACAGAACAACACATTGTTGATTCATAATACACTTATTAGATTACTAATCTTGATCAGTTTGAATTAATTTTAACGATAAATGCCCGTTTAACACGAACATCATATTATTTCACTTAAGTGTAGTTTAACGCCATAGCATTTCCTTATTAATTATTGTGGGTAGTTCGTACTTAAGTGCATACTTTACAATATGTATATTACGATATATTGCACTTCAATTTATACATTTAAGTTTTAACAGATACAGGTTAAAACTCAATTGAATTAAAATTTAATGTGACCTTTTTAGCTACAGTATCCTCGCTTACTAATACTATATATAAATGCGAAAGCAACTCTGTCTGTCTGTCTGTTACTCTTTCACGCCTAAACTACAGAACGGATTTGAATGAAATTTGGTACACAGATGGTCTAGACCCTCAGAAAGGACATAGGCCTTTTATTGCGAAAAGGGGGTTGTAAGGGGTTAAGGGGGGGGGTGGAAGTTTGTATGGAAATTCGTGGTTTCTTAAGCTAAAACAATGAATCTTTCTTCTTTGGCTTTTTGGGAATAGGAATAGGAGTGGGAGTGGGAGTGGGTGTGGTAGTTAGAGTATAAGTGATGTGAGGTGAGAGTGTTACAACATAGTTTGCAGCCCTAAATGCGCCCTTACATAAATTAATAAACAGCTTAAATACTTAATTAAAAAATCACTATTCCACAAGTCACTATTCCACGCGGATGAAGTCGCGGGCACAGTTAGTAAATATATAATTATGTAACTTTGAACATTACCCAAGTAAGTGTTATATGGTGATAAAACCGTAAAAGTGTGAAAGGTCAGTAACACGTGGACAACACGACTATCTAAACGAGCGATTTTGTTATTCTAAGCGATTACAGATTATATACTAAGAATACAAACTCTATACAATGACATTATAAGAATATGTTATACCTTTAATTAAAACACTTTGACGGTTTAAAACGCGATATATATTAGTTTAACTTATTAGAAAATTATCTATATTAGTTAAAAAATAACTAATATAGATCGCGTTTTAAACGGTTAATGTGTCATTTAAATGTGTACCACTCTCGTAAACTACAGACAGTATTTATGTTACACGTTATTAAATTTTAGATTACCTTTCAAGTTATATGGCGCTGGCTCTGTAGTAAAGCAAAATTTATTTTCTCTGTTTTGCAAAGGGTTGCATGGCTACAATATCACAGTTGCATTAAAGCAAATAGTTGATAACACCTATGCCGTGCCTAAATATATATTTTTTAATGTTTCCTATACATTGAACCTCGGACCTCTCATGATTGAAAAATTGTCAAGCAAAGCGTTCAGCAGCTGCTTCGATGTTGAAATATTGTTTTTATATAAATAATAATAAAAAAATGATTAAAATTTAATAATTCTTAGCACCTTATCGATTTAACAAAATCATAATTTAGTTAAATTTATTTGAAAAATATTTTAACTACGGCCCGACATTTTGGATGCCTTGCAACAGCCGTCGTCACGGGGAGACACGACTGCTGCATAGTATAGGTACATCGCGTTTTAAACCGTTGAATTGTTTTATTTAAATGTGTACTCGCATAAAATACAGACAGTACTAAATTTAATTATTGTATCGTTTAGTTTATATTTTTTACGAACCATATACACTAATTTAAACGCTCGTTTACTCGCATCGTTTGTCCATTAGTCAACACTAGCGTTACATTCGTAATATGTAATAGCAATAACTTGTAAGTAATGTCAGTAATAGAGCACTTTAAGACTTCGAAAGCTTATAATTACTCGCGCATTAAAGCTATTAAATTAAATTTAAACTACTGAGGTTTATAGTACGCATTAATTTATATTAGTAATGTTATTGCAAGTCTATGTGCTATTTCCTTAAAGAATAAACATTATTATATCCAGGCAGTTACCTATTTGTTATTTTTTATACTAAAAAAAAGATAATTAAATTACGTCCAGTTATTTTGTTAATAGCGCCATCTATTACAACATAGTAGAACTTAAAGCGTATATTCAAAAAGAAAAGTTCTGTCAATGTACACTACGTTTAAAAAACAATCGACAGATGGCGCTGTAAATTTTTTGTTAAGATTAAAGACTTAATTGTGTGTGACTTCACGTGTATCTTGAGAAATCAAATTTTAATTTAGTTTTACATGTATTATTATTAGTAATCCATATTTTTTATGATAGAAGAGGCATGGCAATAATTTGGTAAAATACACCAGCCATATAACATCTAAACTAGATGCACTGTTAACCAATTCTGGTTTAGGATTTTGGAAAACCGAAACGCGATTAAATTTCACGGCTTTTTCATCTGTGGGCGATGGTTTGGAACCCGGACAGAATTCGATATTCCTACCACCCATGTCTGGATTTCCAAATGAAGTCCAACTTGTATCAGAAAAATTATAAATTCATTAGAAAAATGTTGGACCCGGGGGGATCGAATTCACGACCCGTTGTTCATTTGCCATACATTGCTACCAATTACTTAATTACACCAATGAGACCTTTAAAACATTTTTTTTTATTATTTCAGAAAAGACCTGGTTTTGCAAGCTGTAGACAGGGAAGAAGATGCTGCACTGTTTACATACCGCGACGTGAATAGGACTCATGTAGCCGTTGTTCTAGCACAGAGTGTTGATGACCTGGTGGACTCAGACTCACCGCAGAATGTCGTCAAATTCAGATTAGGCTGTGATTTTGATGCTGGAGATGATTTGGTAGGTCACTATTAAAGTTTGCTCTTTCAGGGTCTTGCGCTAAGCTAATCTCAAAAACCTACTTCTTGCAAAATTGGTAAATAATAACGAAAGGCTAAAAATACACCTTATCTTTAAAACAAACATATTTAAAAAGGAATAAAATGTCTAAATTCTTATTTACTTCTTTATACTTAAATTTTATTAGTAGCTGCCCCAGCGATTTTGTCCGCGTATAATAGTTATTTTCGGCAGCGTTATTTGGTTTTTGCAACCTCTTAATTTTATTAATTATAGCTGTTAAATACTACGACGGTCGCGACCCGCCATTCTTGCAATTTACATCTTTCTTCCTAAAGCCTTCCTCGATAATTGCTTCAACAATTCAATAATATGTTTTTAATTCAAACAAATAATTTCTGACAAAAGCGTGTTCAAACTAATAGATAATAAACATTAAATTATTATTAGCAACAAAACTTGGCTAACGCCAGCTCTCTGGCTTGTTAATTTTATGTTCACTTAATCTCAGGAGTAATAGCATTTATAATAAAAAAGCAGGAAACAATTTTGCAAGAGGTACTAAACGCAATAGGGGTGAAGCATTTTCACTTTTACGCGTCTCGTAAAATCACATGTGTTTTAGATGAAGTCAATGAACTAGATTCGCACAGAGATTAAGATCTTCTAGATACGACATTGATCTCAGATATGAACACTCGCAGTCAATACTGCCTGTAGTTTACGCCAGTAGTACACATTTAAATAAATACCTCAACGGTTTAAAACGCGATGTATATTAGTTAAACTTATGTGAAAAATAAGCTATTAAACTGCTTTGTAGCAGCCGTCATGGTGTACCTCCTCGTGACCACGGCTGTTGCAAAGCATCCGAAACGTCGGGCCGTAATTAAAATAATTTTATTTAATATTGTATATCGCACTTTAAACCGTTAAAGTGTTTGTTAAAACTTGCATTCAAAATAAACAAGACGTTTGGTTTGGGCCGAAACATCTCTAAGTTTCAGTCTTTGTGATTGATAAATTGCTCGTTATATATAAGTCTAGACTTATAATAGCGTAACTATAATATTATAATGATAAAATTATTTTACTACGGCCCGACTTTTTGGATGCTTTGTAGCAGCCGTGATAACGGGGAGACGTTTAAATGTTTTATTTAATAATGTGCTACTTGCGTAAACTACAGACAGTATTTATTAATTTTATTTAATATTAGTTTGAAAAATAAAAAAAAATGTCAATTCGCTTCCAAGCTATTCCAGATATCTATGTGAATGTTACATGCGTACGCCGTGTTTACGTCTGTACTTGTACATTTGCATAATTGCCTTCAGGACCAAAATAGTATTGACAATGTGTTAATAAATGTTCGACAACATGTGTGGATGAGATGTAGCAAATTTTCCGCTATTTGTTTAAGGCTGGTTATTACCTTATTTTCTTCTATAAGTAAAATATATATGATTGCTTATAACAAACTTATTAACATTAAAAAAAGAAATGAATTGAAGATAATAAACTTGTTTAATTTCTGCCTTCTTTATAGTTGAATTTATTTTCTTAGTAGGCTAATAATATAGAATAAAAGGTCGTCTAAGTTACTTGCGTTCATTGGGTTTTCTACATAAATAACGTTTCACAATTCTAGTATGTTTTTATTGATATAGTATTTTAATCAATATATATAACTCGTGACTACCGGTGGAAGATTTTTATTAATCGAATGCTCGAAAGGTCTGGTTAATATTAGTAAAATATAATAAACTTTGAGTTTCAACCTGTCGGAAATAGTTTTATTAAATTGCACGAGCAGTTTGAGATTGGCATTTGAACTTATATAGTTTCGGAAAATATACAGATTACAAACAAACAGATTATCATCTACTGTATACACAGAACCCTTTGAAGCATCGTCAGCGCGTCGACTAAAAGTATCTTTTGTTTCTACAGATCCTTCAAAGATCTTTGACCAGTACTGTAATTTTATTGTTTACTAGAAAATACGTCAAGACTCTCTTGTCGGATATAAATAGAATAGTTTATTGACAAAAGGATGCGGTGATATTTTAGCTTCTATGCAATTTCCAATTGAAAAGAAAGCTTTTCACCCTCTGACATTTTTAAAGTGACGTCAAAAATAATTCATGCCACGTGTTGTTATCGATGTCGAAATTAAAATGTTTTTTTATCCTACAAGTCACTGGTTAAAGTGACAGAACTAATCTAAATGATTGTGAATTTAGATTAGTTCTAATGTAAATATTGATTCATCAAACTAAACATCATACATGTTAAAAAATATAAAAGTTAATAATTATATTTCAGAAGATAAAACACTACCTGACGTTTTATGTAAAACGCGTTTTATACCGTTACAACTTCTTATATCTAGTGTACCAATGGGATAAACAAAAAACAATAACCTTACTTAAACTAACCTTAATTAAAACTGTACTTAGTTGTCGACTATTGTATCCTTTATGTGTTTCAGATTTCGGCGTTTCTTTCAGTGACTGTTTACATCGAGGACATCAATGACAACGTTCCTATATTTTTGGATTCTCCCTACAGAGTAAGCGTCGATGAACTTACACCAACAGGTAAATACTACATTTTTTTTATAAATACCCTTCATTATGTAGGCTTAAAACACTAAACCTCACAATTACGTCTTACTTATCACACACACACAACTGGTCAGAATTAAATTGAGATCTATAGCTTTTTCTCTGACTCTCTCCCAGGATCCCTATAAGTCTAGGAAGTAAGTCTTCGTTCAGAGTTTAAATTTTAAACCACAATCGAGCCATAATATAAAAGAATAGTAACTAGACTTTTCCATTGCAGGGTTAACAATTTTCAGAGGAATACGAGCGTTCGACCGTGACAAGCCCAATACTCCTAACTCTGATGTACAATACAGCATAACATCTGGTGATGAGGAGAACCGCTTTTCACTGGAAAGCTCGCATAAACCTGGACTTATTCTCAAAAAATCCCTAGATTTCGACTCTGGAGACAGGGAGTTCTGGCTTACTATTACAGCTTCAGTAAGTATTGATACAATTGAGATTAAATTAAGATAAAATGCTGCCGAGTCTGTCGATTGACTGTGATGTTGTACTCAAAAGAAAAAAATAACAAACGAGAAAAAATCACTTAATTAATTTTCTATTTAACATTTTTCAGGATCGCGGTTCTCCTCCTCGCAGTTCCAACACAACTGTTCATATTATAGTGCAGGATAATGATGACCTTCCTCCAAAATTTACTATGGATGTATATAAAACTAAGATACCTGAATTTTATCCAATATTGGTAAGTTTCAATTAGGTATCTTTCTGACAACTACCTTCATAATAGCAAATACATACATAATATGTATGTAGGACTTGTAATTTACGTCATTAAATTAAAGTTATTACTTTAACATCTATCCGACCTGCCGATGAATGCTGAAATGTTCTCAAAATGTCGGGTTATAAAAAATCACGTTTCAACTCGTTCTAATGAGTTTCACTTCAAATATTAATTTTAATATACTTTGTGTACTAGGGCAAAAGAGTTCACCAGGAACTTGTTTTCGAGCAGCCGATACGCGCGTTCGACCAGGACACAGGTGTTGCTGCTCCTGTGAGGTATGAACTTGTCTCCGGGAATGAAAGAAGACTCTTTTCACTCAGCCCATTAAATGGAAGTTTATTTCTAAATAAGGAAATTGATTTGGATTCTGAAACTGCGTTGCCAGGTAATTTTTCGTCCAAAACAAAATTTAGGTATTTCTTACATTTCTATTGGTATACTCTGGAGATTATACGTGGATTGTTTTAATTAAACGTTTGTATTGTATTACTTATATACGAATGTTAAATTACAGGCAACACATTCATGCTACAAATACAAGCAGCTCAAGTGGACAATCCTCTAAAAGCCGCCCAAGCTAGAGTGGAAGTGGAAATATTTGATTTAAATGATAACCTTCCAGAGTTTGAGGTGGACTTCTACAATATAAGTATTGTGGAAAACTTGCCAAATGGTACGAATACACTCCTTGTGGTTTATGAAAGAATATTAGAATTTTAGGGAGTCTGATGTTTGATGACACAGGCGGGACCAACAAAAGCCTATACCAATTGGTTAAATATTTTCAACCTTTTTAACTTATCATGTACATCTCGTGCAAAAATACTAAATATTCGATTACTCTAAATAATGTGTGAGACAAATTTTGATACCAGTTGAATACTATTTTCTTAGGTTTCAGTGTTCTTCAAGTGATGGCCAGTGATAAAGATCAGGGCGATAATGGAGAATTTACCTACCAACTAAGCGATGCTAATGGAGCTTTTTCCATAGATCCTAGAAGCGGATGGTTAACTGTCAAAAATCAAGTAGGTAAACTATATTTCTAATAAACAAATTAGAAAATTTACAATAACTTTATTGATTTCACTCTGTTGTCTTTTAGACTGTATTAGACCGAGAGTTACATGCATCGCTTCGTATGAAAGTGTACGCCAAAGAGAAGAACCCAAGCATTGTTGGAACATTTCTTGACAAACAAAGACTGTCCAAGTGGAAAAGAAATCCATCTCCTAAATTGCCAAATACAAAAGAGAAAACTACCTATGTCTTTCCAGATAGAATTGGAAACAATAATGAAAATATAGAATATTTTGATGATATTCATCAATTATTATCTTTAGTAACTGTAGAAGTAACACTTTTGGATGCTAATGACAATAATCCTATTTTTATTCCGAGCAACTTATACGAATTTAGTGTGAAATCAAATGCAAAGGTTGGAACAGAAATTGGAATAGTTCAGGCAGTCGATCCTGACCTGGGAAGGAATGGAATGGTGCTATATGATTTGCAAAGAACGAGTAATTTAACTATTACATCCCCTTTTCAAGTTGATGCTAAGACAGGTGTGATAACCTTAGCAGAGTCGCCAGTTATGGAAGGAAGGCATGCTTTATTTATAGAAGCTTCTGATCAACCAGCGAATCCCAGTGAAAGACGATATTCCTTAGCGGTTGTAGCTATTGATGTTTTTAATGTAAATAAAGGTAAATATTAGAAATATTTTGTAGTAAAGTAACTAAGAGCAACTTAAAAAAATTCAATATTCCAGGATCTAAGACAGACAGACCAGATTTTATTGGATCTCCATATGAGTTTTGGGTAGGATCCAATGTTGGTATTGGTACTAGTATTGGACAAATCAGAGTAAATGAAGCAATGCAGAAAGGCGAACTATCATATGACCTTTTACACGGCTATGAAGAAGGAGGTAAGAAAAAACTATACTAAATTATTTAAATCACTAAGATAAATTACCTTTTTTTAAACTTTAACCAAGTAGATTATACTAATTTTATTTTAAATGGTAACTCTATTTTCAAGTACCATTTGCTGTTGAAGAACGATCTGGAGTAATAACAGTTGTAGATGAACTGTCCAAATTTGATCGTCCAGTTTATGACTTCGAGGCTGTAGCCATACAAGAAAAGTACAATTTCTCAATCACAACAAATGCCACCGTCCACGTAGTAGACGTAAACGACGAGAGAGGTGTATTTCTAAAGTAATAACTTTCTGTATTACTTATTATAAAAGATTTTAATATTATAAATAACAATTTCCTCTCATTTCAGAGGATCACATTCTCCACTAGTATTTCGTGTTAAAGAGAATGTTGCTGGTGCAACCATTGGTAGGATATTTCCTATCAATATAAACGTTGGTGAAAATAATACTCGAAAATTTCAATTTATTATTGCTAATCAACAAGATGTTGCTGAAGATATCGCAATAGGTATTTTTTTGCAATATACAAACGTTGAATATATTTTACTATACGTTGAATATTATTCAAAATGTGAGTTATCAATAAAATGTATTTACAGGCGCAGATGGAACTATTTTTACCCAAAAACCTTTAGATAGAGAAAAAAGAAGCATGTATGCCATGACTGTAATAGCTGAATATTCAAAAAGCGCAATAGCCGGTGCAAGCTTATACCAAATAACGATAAATGTTGATGATGAAAATGATAATCCACCAATATTTGAACTACCAGCATACGAAGGCACAATCACTGAAAATGCCGCAAAAGGGACGGAAGTAAATTTAACAAATAAAATTAAAGCCAAAGACGCAGATATTGGCGTCAATTCAATATTCAGTTACATGCTTTTTGGGGATGGACATGACTTATTTAGTGTAGATGAAAAAAGTGGAACAGTTACATTTATGGGAAATAAATTGGATCGGGAAGAGAAAAGCGTATATCATTTAAAAATTGTCGCTAGAGATAAAGGGAGCTTAAGTTCTGAAGCAAAATTAACTATAATTGTCACTGATGTCAATGACAATGCTCCAAAATTTAATGAGATTATAATTCCACTTGGAGAAAATATAGACCTATTAGAAAATTCTGGAAGAAATCATATTAAAATATACAGGGAAATGAAAAATACTACAGGTATCATATACAACGTCGAAACGAAACCTAAAAATAAATTTGCCGTAACTATTGATTCCCCATTATTTGTAATACCTGAAAATATTGCAATCGGATCAACCGTTTTGAGAATGAATGCTGTTGATATGGATAATGGTCCCAATGGAAATATCCGTTATGAATTTCTATCTGAAATATTCATACCCCCTTTCTCGCTACCTTCCAGTGCCCTACAAGTTAAGAGATATTTTGTCGTAAATGAAAGATATGGTAGTATAATTGCTGCTAGAGCCCTACCTCCCGAATCAGAATTTCGCCTTAATATTTCTGCTTCAGATGGTGGACAACTTAGTGACACAATCACATTACGCTTATTCATAAAGGATGTAAATGACCACTTTCCGATGTTTAAAAAAGCCTGGTATAACTTTAATGTCGAAGAAGCGCAGTATACTAGACGAGTGTTAGGAAAAGTCGATGCGACAGACGCCGATTTTGGCCAAAATTCTAATATAACATATTATATTGAACCATCTAACAGTGACCTTCCATTTGAAATATCACCTTTGAACGGTGTATTTAGTGTCAATGGTGAACTTGATAGAGAAAAAGAAGATAAGTATGTTTTAACGGTAGTGGCAATGGATAACGGCCAAGAAAAAAAGTTATCGTCATCCGTTAGTGTAGAAGTACAGGTGTTGGATGTGAATGACAATGCACCTCAGTTCTTTGCATTTGATGATCTTTTAGAATGGAAACATCCGGACAAAGATGAAAATGTAAACCATAATTATGAGTCTGTTAAAATGATTCCAGTATATAAAGCAACGTTGGAAGAGAATTCACCGATTGGTACCGTAGTCGCACGAGTATATGCCAACGATACTGACTTTGTTGGAAACGGAAATGGTTTAATTCTTTGTAGTATTCCACAGAGAAAAAATCATGTTAATATATTTTCTATTGATTCTAAAGAAGGTATTGTAACTACTACTACCAGATTAGATTACGAAAGTCAATCCGTTCATAATATTACTGTTATTGCTTCTGATCTCGGTTCTCCAAGTCTCAGTTCAACAGCTCTCATTATTTTAACAGTCAAAGATATCTCGGATGAAGCAGAAGTGTCTGACAAGCCGGTATTTATTTCAAGATATTATGAACTTGAGATAGAAGAAAATGTGCAAACTCCAGTTGAACTAGTCACATTAAATTTAACAGAATATTACGAGAACTTCAAAATGAAATATTTTATTTATAATGAGAATGATACTGATATAAAAAAGACTTTCGTAATCGATCCCCGGAATGGAACCCTTTATTTGATAAGAAGTCCGGATAGAGAGACGCGAGATATGTATGAGGTCCTGGTAAGAGCAGAAAGACAGAAAATAAGTCGTGAGTTACCCCATATGATCTATCCGGTTGGTGATGAGGTTTTAGAGGGAATGACAAAGTTTGACGTGAAAATTGTTGTACGGATTAAAGATGTAAATGATAACGCGCCAAAGTTTATATACGGTGGACGTCCTATGGTCACAGCTATTCCTACCACGGCGCCATTTGGTTATGAAGTTATACAGCTACGGGTAGGTCACTTGTTTTTGTGTATATAAGCAATTATAAGCGAAATAAATTACGAAAGCTTTTGTAAGATGTACAAGTTAGAACAGATGTAAATTCACTTCCTACATATGTAAATTAGTTAATTGAGTATAGAAAAAGTACCATACACGTGGTTAAATACTGTCTATAGTTTACACGAGTAGTACACATTTAAATAAAACACTTTAACGGTTTAAAACGCGATATATTAGTTAAACTTATTTGAGTCTTCCCGTGACCACGGCTGCTGCAACGCATCCGAAACGTCGGGCCGAAGTTAAAAATCATTCTCAATAAAGTTTAACTAATATATCGCGTTTTAAACCGTTAAAGTGTTTAAATACACGTGGTTACTAAACGGACTGTGAATAATTAATCGTAATGCACAGTTATCTAACTCTTTTTTTAAATTCGGGATTTAGAGTTATTACCCATTTAGATAACAAACCACTTACATAAAAAAAAAACTTATTACTAAAATGTAATAAGTTTTTTTGTATATATAATATATTTTTTTTATTTTATAAAGTGTGAAAGCCCGTTTCCGCCTCGTGGGGCATGGGGCGGACATATTTCTGTGTCCGTTTCATTGATCCGTTCTTTTAATGGGCAAGTAGTTAAACAGACTTCTGTGCCCATTTTTTATAATAATATTAAGTAATTATTAGGCTCATTAAGAAAAAGTTTTCTAATAATATTGTTTTTATAGGCTGTAGATGCAGATATCGGTATCAATGCAGACATACGCTATCAAGTAATAAATTTAGAAGGCGGACGCTTTAGCGTAGATCCTGTGACAGGGCGAGTTAGAGTTGCAGGATCGTTTGCGAGAGATGCTGGAAGAGTTATCGGTTTCGATGTAAAAGCCACAGATAGAAAAGGTGCCGACGATGGCCGATCGGCAATAGCTAATGTATTCGTGAGTAACTTATTTTCGATTCATAATATAGATTAAAACATAACTTTGGTAATATGGTTGACAGGATATGTGTCATTGTAAGATACTTTTGTTTTAATTATTAAATAATAAAAAGTCTATAAATTAATGCTTGACCCTAAATGTCAAAAATATTTTTAAAATTTATATGTAATGCCATTATGCGCAATAGCTTAATAAAGAATATTAAAGTTTTAAAATTCAAAATTATTTCTTTTTTATTTACAGGTTTACATACTGGACGAAAATAAACAACTTGTGATAGTAGTGGCAGCGAAGCCCGTGGAAGTTGAAAAAGAAGTTTACAATATCACCCAGTATCTCTCAAATATGACTGGATTTGATATTCGAGTGAGAAGGCTCGAAACCAGTGTTAAGACTACTATGGACGGTTATGCGTAAGTTATTTAACATTATGAACCAGTGGAATAAAAAAAAAGTATGCATTTATCGCATTTTCTAGTGACATCCTCTTACGCAATTTAAAGGCATTAAAGCTCCACTTTTCCATGTTTTTAGGACACGGAATTAGTTCGTTTTCTTTTTATTTTGTCTATGCATCGTTGTTTTTTTTAATAACTAAAATGTTACGTTTACTTACAGAACTGATATATACATCTATGCTATCGATCCTGTATCAAACGCAATTATTGATATGGAGCTTTTGCAAAAGTAAGTATCTTTTATAAAATTTGCCCTAACATCTGTCCTCGTAATTAATCACATTTTATTTTAGGTCCTTAATGAAGAGGGAAGTCGCTCTGCGGAATAATTTAGCCGGTTTCAAGGTATTAGAAGTGGGTGACACAACAATGGTTCAAGCAAGGAGCGCGCAAATGTTTAGTACAATGGAAATAAGCGTAGTTGCGTTAGGTTGCCTCGTGTTTATTGGGGCTTTTACTACAGCCATTTGTATTCTCTGCGTCAGGAAAAGTAAAAGGTGAATAGCATTCGTATTATCTATCTTATCATCTATTCATAAATACTGTCACTGGAAAAATCTGCTTACAAAAAAAAAATATCTTCGTTTTGTTATTAGTTCATTTTGTTTTACAAACATTTTCAAATTCAAACCATATTTAGTAAGCAAGGTTTTTTCTTCCATATTTCAGACATCGTCACCATCACAAAAGAAAACAAACGAAACACTATTTCATTAAATAGAATTAAGACTGATATTGAAGCTAAAGCTAGTGAATAGTTTCCATCTTAAATTATTTAATATTAAACTAAAAATAAACGATATTTTTGTTTTATTGTATGCATCTTTTATTTACGTAACCACAAGCTGCCAATGGATGTATTGCTTTAAAGTTTATTAACGTATTAATCAAAACTATTGTAAATTATTTTCTATATCTATATAATACTTATAAGCTTGTGATTTCTATAACTCTTCTTCTATCTTGTCCTAACAGAAATCGTCACCAACCATACTCCCAACATCGACTTAACGCTTTCTCTGATCATCTAGCTAAATACGGAGGCTTATTTCCATCGGGTAATAACCAGTGCCAAGAGCTAAATCAGTCTTATAGTGAAGCTGACTCGTATATCGATGTTATTAATCAAAATACGACAAAGAAAATATGTCCACATGGAAATACGATCGAAGAATTTGGTAAAGCCCATCAGAAGTGTTCCAAAGCACAATTCGACAATATCAATGGATCAGAATTATTTAATAAACACGAAAGAATGTGTATAAAGTTTAACCAAAGACCTTCAAAAAGGTAATAATTCCAGATGTATACTAATATTGATTATGTAATTCTTCAAATCAATCTCTTCGCTACACTCTCTCCTCTCATAAATGATTTTCTCTTTATCTGTTATAAACAAAATACCTATTTATAAATTTCTATGACAACTAATATAATAATAACATTAAAACATACAACATTCGTACAATTTTAACAGAAAACATTGGTGATGGTTCTTTAATAACAGTTACAATTAACAAAATACTTAATACAAATTTAGAAACTTAAATCGTTATTTTTATAATGTTAATAAATTACACAATACCATCACCAACTTTAAAACACAAACATGAAAATAGGAAAGGACAAGACACATCGATAACATCAGTGAATTCCAGTGGACAAGACTCCGGCATCGCTGAGGCTGGCAAGTGTCCCTGCGGCCACTCTTCACTGCATACTTCTGAGGAGAGCAGTGGGTATGTCTTCAAATATAAACCAAGGGTAAAGGGTAATGATTAAGCTGCGTTATACAATGTACATACATAGACTACCTGGAAATTATCTGAACTCTTTATCTTTTTATAAACTTTTTAGTCTAGGCCAAAAGTCTTAATTACTATATAAATTCTTCGCTCTACGTGACATGATTCAATAGCTCACATACTGTACTGAGCTCTATGAATCATGTTCATAATAAGTTATTTGTAAATGCAGATGCAGTTATGAAGATTCACTCAAATCAAACCATAAACAAGACCGTAAATCTTATCGCAATGAATCAGACAATCGCTTCACCCGACGAGCCTCCTTCGGTCACCAGCCTCTCGACATCCGAAGGTATAACCATCGGCGACAGTCTTTCTCCGAAAATCTTCAGCGTCACTTTCCCTCAGTCGAAAGAGTAGGATCTACAGCCAGAATCACGCGACAAACATCTACGCCGAATGTTAACGCAACTCCATCATACTTTCTTAATGGCAAGAAGAATTACAGAAGAAAAGAAGTGATCAATGAACCAGTGATCGATTATGACCACAGTGAGAATGAAGATCATTTCGACACAAGACTTAATAGAAAATTGAGTAGTAGTCGTAAGGTCGGCAGTTTGGTTGAGTTAAATGGACAACCGGCCGTTTTTGTCGCAGCGCCGGTAACTGCTGATTTAATGAGACGGCAGGGCAGCGACAGATTAATGTTTGCGAGACCCTTATGAAAAATATGAGCAAGGTTTCCAACAAGATAAGCTTTAAATCGAGTTATAATGGAGATATTGTAAATTGTTGATAGTTTTGTTTGTAAATATGCTTAGGGTAATTTATAAGTAAGTGCCATTACGGAGATTTTGTTTACCACCTTCGTAGGATAGAAACATGTTTTTATTTTATAGTTTTTGTACATAATTTGTAATAAAACATATACCGAGACTGACTTTTAAATAACACGATGATAACAACTGCTGAGCAAAGAGTAAAGCGTTTAAATACATTTCCTACAACTAACTGAAAGTAAATACTTAACAATCTATGTCAACATAAGTAAGGGAACCAGTCAAGTGAATAAAATAATCGTTTTATTCATTCCCTTGGTCCCAGTAATACATGGTAGCAAAACAAACTAAAATGGGGACATAGGCAATGAGTTATGGAATCTGTAAGCAACCATAAGCGTTTCGTCGTACATATGCTGACGTCGCTATTAGGGGTCTTGCAAACTATTTCCTCTAATGTTTTTTGGTAAAATATATCGAGCTCCAAAAAAATAACTCGTGTTTTTAGAAACCGTATGTACGCTTTGTCTGTATCGTGTTTCTGTGTTATCATCAGCGGTCAAGAGTCGAATGTTTCGTTGCGACGTGACAGATCCTGACTTTGACTCCTGGGAAAGTACTACTGCAGAAATGTTTTAGTCAGGCATGGCAGAGAAGTCAGGTAAACTATATGTAACGTAAACATAATCAGACCATTTTTGAGTTCGCCTCATGCCCCGAGGGGTCCCACTCACAGGTTTTCACTTTTATCAGGAACGAGACCTTGGTCTTTGCGGAACGATAAAATTCGGGTTTACAACAAACTTAGAAAGAAATTAAATTAAGAAGTAAACAGAGTTATAAGCACGTTATATACAGAAAAAGATTCTGACCAAAAATACCTGCAATAAAGTTCATACTTGCATTTGAAGACTATTGTGTTATTTATGATAACACCAAAAATTATTATTTACAAATGTTTTAGCCCCTTTTAAGGGTGACGGCGCCAAGAATGCACGCACAAAAGCTTTGGGTTAAAGCTAATGCATACAAAGGATCCATGTTCCTTGACTCCTTGTATCATCACGAAATGTCACGTACTTGACGAGTGCGGTTCGATGAACTGCGAACTTATAATTTGTTTCAGTTTCTTGTACTCTTAATGGATTCCTTCTGTTCCGCTTGTGTTTACATACTTTCGAATTGAAAGTTCATAATGATGTTTTTGTTTTCATTTCGATTATAGATATATACTTAGATGATATTATATACTTATTGATTATTTGTTTGGACTGGCTCGTTGTAATGGGAGCATTCTATCGCCAATAATCAATGGATTGTGGGTTCGATTTTTAAATCTTTTATAATTGATCTGAAACGTGGACTTCGTCTGAAAGTCTGGTCTTGTGTTTATTATTTATTACACAACACACACATAATTACAATTAACTGAAAAAATCTATAAACCATGGTAAAGGGCGGCCTTGTAGCTAATAAGATCTCGTGCAGGCAACCCTTTCTAGGAAAATAATGTTAAACAATGTCCCAAACTTAAAATATAAATAATTTTACGTATTACTTATCACTAAGCACAAACACATATCAAATGGGTGGTAGGAATATTGGAATTACGTTCTGTTCACGAACTATCGTCCACATAAAAAAAAGCTTTGAAGTTTAATCGAGCTTTGTTTTTTATGAATTCCGATAATCCGAAGCCAAAATAGATTAACAGTGCATCATGTTTAGATGCTATATGGCTGGGGTATTCCATGTACCATCACGTGAACCTCGTGCTGCTATCATGATGTATTTGTGATACAGTATAATCTCTTATCGAAAAATCCCCCTTTCAAACAGCCCTTACTTTTAACAGCTGCCGTCAAAATGATTTTCCTTTATCAAATCTCAAGTCTTAAAAGTGTTTTCCTTGATCGTAAAATTGTCGTAAACCTAAAAAAGCTCACATAAATTAACGGCTGGGTGGGCAATATTGTCCATTAATTTTTACTTACTGTTTATGAGCACTTAATGACATTACCACTTAACTTGACACTGTATCAATAAATACTGTCTATAGTTTACGCGAGTAGTGCACATTTAAATAAAACACTTTAACGGTTTAAAACGCGATATATTAGTTAAGCTTATTTGTGTCTCCCCGTGACCACGGCTGCTGCAAAGCATCCGAAACGTCGGGCCGAAATTTAAAGTTAAAAATCATTTTCAAATAACTTTAACTAATATATCGCGTATTAAACCGTTAAAGTGTTTTATTTTTAACTGTATCAATATTTTTTATGGTTGTCTCACTCAATCTTTTTAAACGATACTTCGTGAATTTGTATACATAAAAGTGCACAGGTGGATCTCGAATTAACGACAATCTTATAATGGAATAACACTATAACGTAATTGTTCCTGCTGGTGTCATCATCTAACGGGCATATAATCAACGGGTCATAGGTTCGATTCCCACCGGTTCCAACATTTTCTAATCACTTTATAATTTTTATAAAACATGTTGGACTTTGTCTTGAAATCTGACGATTACATGGATGGTGGGAAAATCGAAATTCCACCATTAACCACCATCCACAGATGAAAAAGCCGTTAAGTTTAATTGCGTTTCGAATATTCAAAACCAAAATAGGTCGTCAGACTGGGGTATTACATTTACCACCACTCTTGCTTGTCTGTCTTCTCTATCATGAAAGAAATCTAAATCATTTTTTAAATTGATACATTTTTTTCCCTGTGTATAGTGAGGGTAAACATCCGCAAATACAATAACCTTTTATCTTCAAACCACTATTTCCTGAAACTTCTCTATGTGTGTATAAACACGGAAAATGTTATTTGAAGTCTTTGACATCACATAAAGGCACGAGGTTTTTGGGTCTCTGATAAACGATGCTTATCCATAGAACGACTCTTTCTGAACTGTAAGAAAAATAATAATAATTACTAACTCAGTATACATGATAAGTAATACTCTAAATTCAAAATGATTAAGTAAGCTGTTTGAGCTAAGAAATATAAATGTCTTATTCTAGTGCTTGGTTTTGTCTATAAAATATTAATATTAAAAACAACGTCAAGGGCAGACAACCATAACGGTTCAATTGAAGGTAGGTGAAATAGCCCAGCTATATAACATTTTGATTCGATGTGCTGTCTTCCTATGTTGATTGTGGATATTGGAAAAACCACAGACTGAAGCGAAACGCGATTAAACTTCACGGCTTTTTCATCTGCGGACGGTGTTTCGTGACCCGGGCGGATTGGTTTTTACCACCATCATGCATTTAATATCTAGATTTCCAGACGAAGTTCAACACATTTCAGAAAAATTATTAAATGCTCAGAAAAATGTTGGAATCGGTGGGGTTCGAACTCAAAACCCTTTGATTAATTAGCCTTACATTGCTACCACCGAGTTTCTTTTTTATGGTCTAAATTAATGAGTACTTCACAACTTCATATGGTTTTTTGGACTATGTATGTCATTTAGAATGAAAACAAGGGAATAATTCAGTTAAATTTAAAAAAATATATAAAAGATTTGTCGGATTCACCCATCGGCCTCCCCAATAATCTATATGTACTAATGAAGCTGAAGAGATCGTTTGATTATTTGAACGTACTAATCTCAGGACTACTGGTTCTCGGTGGAATTGAAAATGTATTTAATGTTGGTTAGAGTATTTATCGAGGAAGGCTATAAGCTTTACAACATCGTTCTGTGACTAACAACAGCGAAAAAAAACAATGGGAAAAATTTTCAAGATTACCCAAAAAATATGTGTGAAAGAAAGTTTCCCTTTTTAAATGATGATGAAGGATAAATTTTATTCTGCGAGTGTTTTGAATCTCAATATTCTTTTATTGTAAAGAACTAACAATAACATGCACGCAACTTTTAAACTGCCTCATTTTTTACAAACTTTTGGCCAAACACCGAAGAACTAAACACAGTATCTGATTCTAATTCAATCAATGACAAACTTTGAGCATTCCGTGGTTATAAAAGTTTAGAATTGAAACCGCTGGACGCAGTTGTTATCTAAATAGGACTTTACATGGAAAACTGTGTCTGCTCCACCGGTTTTAACTTACAAGGGTCAATGGACGCGAGAAAACTTTGGCAACTGAATACATTAACGATTTTAGACAATGTATTTTTTATGAGTGGGATTGACAGGAGGAAGGTTTACTTGATGGAAGTTGAAATACATCGGCTGAAAACTAAACAAAATGCATACAAGACTCTAGAGCGTATAACAGGTACCTAATATGACTTTGTTATATTCATATTTGCAATATGCCGTCTATTTGTCATAAGGTCTCGTAAAATATTATACAAAGTAAAAATCCGTCTCCCTCCATGAGACATGGAGAGGACATATTTCTCTGTCCGTTTCATTGATCGATTTTGTTTACAGACAAGTAAGTACTTCAGCCCTGCCCGAAAGAAAAAAATCTGTTGTTCCTCCGGGTTACGAATCCAGGACCTATTCATACAGCTACAAAGCCGCTATTAACCATTAGCATTTTCACAGATGGTTTTTCAGAGTTTTCTTAGTATAAAATAAACATTAAAATAATTAAATTATATGGGAGTGTGTAACAAAAACTATGTATTTTTATAAAGGAAACTAGACATAGACGTGTCCGATAAACTTTCAGATTTTTTAAAGATATACATCTCTTGTATGACTTTGCGATACATAATCGTCGTAGTCTTTTATTAACTCAGTGATGTCTGATTTGCAAACTGAAATATTTATGGAATTGCTTTTTGCTTCTTTTATTATTTTTATGTATTTACACTTTTGTATCACATTTGGGGCAAGATTGATATGAAAGTCATTGCATATAATCCTTGTTATTCCCAACATTAACACTTGTTAGATACAAAAGTCGCCACATGGCTAAAATTAAGGAAAATATTTATTTAAATAAAA